TTCATTTTCACTATATGGGATTTGCCCGTGTCTGCCTTAATGCTCGACCATGCTAAGGAGAGATTAGAGGCAGCAACATAATGATGTAATGCCATCCATTATGTATGTAATGAATAGTTCATTGTTCTCTCGCACTAAACTCAATTCTCATCACCTTCAATTTTCAGTCGTATGTGGAATGTGGATTAAATAATTCCCTTGTTTTGAATACACAATTTCCTCCTCTCCACTCTGTCTAATCTCACTCTACTGATCTGTGCAAAGAGCCAAAAAAAAACCCACCACGAACCCTTCGAAATACGATTGCTGCGTGTCTTGTGTCCGTCTTCTTAGAAGTCTAATTGGACAGTTCCGGACAGAAAAACAGATTTCGTGAATATAGTGGACTCATTCAAGGAAAACTTTTATGTTCTCCATCTCAAAGAGAAGATATTTTTGTAAATTAAAACATGAAAAGTCTATAATTAATTTGAATATTGAGTTATGAAATTTTCTGGCGCCTATTTTTACAAAAGGTCACAAAACTTAGAAATCCAAACCGTATAAACTTTATATTAATCACACCCGATGAAGTCCAATGTGCCTTGTTGAATCCAAAAATACACTTAAGAACCTACGCCGTCTCAATATTTTAGGTCTTTTGCACAATTTTTCTCCTCCTCTTCCCACTATCATTTGTTAGCATCTTGCAAAAATCTCTCAGATGCTCGCGGAGATGGACTAAAAAATGGCGGGATATAAATTTCCAGTTGTGAAATAATACGTATAGAAGTCTCTAAATATTTTTTCACTGCACTACACCTATTGACAGGTGGCGAATATATGCAATAAATTTCAGCTACACCGCTAAGAGTCTAACCAGAAGGAGCGCTTGAATGCATCTGCCATTAGTTTTTGGCACATTCATTCATAATGTATATATTGTCTATTTTCAGAAAGCCGCCTTGGCATCTGCATACAATAAATTCTGATATAAAATATCGCACGCCCTCCCATAGACTCAGGACACTCTTTCCATCCATCTGCCGCTCGGCCCTCAACCTGCACCTTTTCCCTGGAATCAATTCCAAAAGTTGACTAATTGTTTTATCACCTGCATAACAGTCGAATCGAGAGATGGCTGGCGAGCCAAGGTTACCGCCATCATCTTCACTCTATGAATGCTCCATGTCAGACGCGATGATAAATCGCGACATTTTCAGTGTTGAGAAACTCAAGGCAACAAAAAAAAGCATTCTCAGTACAACCAGCATTTTTATTGTTTTACACTGCTTTTTTCCCCGTGCGCCGTCTAGTTAAGTCTCTCTATCGCATTTACATTATCATTGTGTCACTGTAATAACTCTCTTTTTCATATACACTCCACCTCTCTCCCATAAGCACGAAATAATGAAAGGCAGGAAGAAGTTCAAGGCTGGTCAAATCAATTTTTTCCCTACTCTTTCACCCATTCCCCAACTAATTCTATTACCATCTCATTATCTCCACATGGTAATTCCAACTAAGCATCGCATTAACTTAACAAACTTGTCCTACGCTCAGTGTCGATTTCGGATATGTTTTGACAAAATGCGCGGTACTTCAATTGTGACATGATCGTTTAATTATTGGGTCAGGCAAATCCTGACAATCATGATGTCGTCTCGTCACGGATCAAGCCAAATTGGAAATATCAACACCCAATTAACAAAACTTCAGGCCCCAAAAATACAATTTTAAGTAGTTTTTTGCACTTACAACATCTTATTATTGCTATTGACACATTGGGAGGGCACTATTTGACAAATATATCAAACTCTTGAATCTCAATTGACTGTAAATTGGTTCGATTGCTGTGTAAAGAGGGACAGATGAAAAAAATGTATAACATTCTCCGTCATCTCCCTAACTATATACGGACATCAGTGTGTGGCTCTCAAAATTAAATATGTTATGCAAAAACTCACTGACTCAATTAATCGATTTATTCACTGTGCGGATGGAAAGAAGTCCACACACACGGAAAACATTTATAGACAGTGAAAAAATAACATTAAAATTCGCTGAGCCATACAAGAACCAACTGTGAGACAATCAATTTGAATTCTTCAAGTGTACACTTTTATTTATTTTTGCAAAGTTATTCTAATGGAAGTATATAACACCTCTACAGTTTTTATTATAAAATAGATATTGATTGATTATTTCACGCCTACATTCAGGTATTCATAGATTCTTCCGAGAGACGTCATATGCATGAAATATAAATACTTGAGTAGTTCCTTATTTACGCTGCGATGAACTCTATCATTTTCAGTTCAAGAGACATTCTTGAAAAGGAAGTTTGTTGTTTTCATGGGAAACAAAAATGGAAAAACGCACACAAGACTGTAAAAAGACGTTCTCACAATTATTCTGCGATATAAGTGCGGTGTTAACAAAAAAAGAAAGAACCTCAAAATTCTGAGAGATTAAAGACCAATCAAGGTTATTCTAATCATCCATGCATAATCAATTCATCTTTCAATCAAATCACAGCTCAATTCCACCAAAAACCACTCTGTAACTGAGATATTCCGAAGAATATAGCCACTGATATGAGTTGAATAGTAAATAGATAAAAGTGTGCAAGTATAGAAAATGAATCGTGTGACAAAGTCTCGAGACCAACCTTGAAAATTGACAAGTTGCAACTGACTGTGAAGTGATATTTTATAGCATTTTCCCAAGTTTCCCTGTTGATGGCAGACAATTTGCACACTCACTGTCGTCTCGTGTTGTGTTGTACTCAAAATCGCCTTTGCCATACTCTGTGTTATACCTTAAAATACACATCATTTATTTTTCGTCTATTTTCAAGAGTATTTCACAATTCCCATCCGTCAAACGACTGTGTGCGAATGTTAAATGTGTTTATTTTGCATCATCGCGTCTTGCCACCCAATTGAAAGGAGTAAAATGCGAGAGAGCTAACAAGAAGTGGAATACGCGAAGACCAGAGAGTGAAAAAATAGAAAAAGAGAGAGAGACGGTCATTCTAAAGAGACTCGACAGAGAAAGCAAAAAATCTAGCAAAGTCAAGTTAAAGTTTTTAGCAAAACAACCAACAGATCCACACAAAACGACTTCGCACAAACCCAACAACACACCGCATTAATATTAGACGAGCAAAAGAGAATGGGTTGGCAGAAAAAAAATTGATGGTATTGAATACAATTTAATATTTTCGCTCTATGACAGTCAGAAAACCACAAGAGTCAATGTCCTGATTAAAAACGTCGCGTTTGCGTAAAATTTTTCACAAATATTTGTGCAACTGATTGAAAGTTTCAGACCGAATAAATGACATGGAATTGTACTGAAACATTTTTGCCGAATGGTTAAGGATCTGTGTCTATTCAAATATCTCTCCCTCAACACACACACACACACATAGTAATATTATATCCAATTAATGATGAGGCATCTTTTTCGCCACAGCTCTCTTGTTACGTGCCTTTTTTTCTTTCTTATGCAAATATTTCAAGAGGATGTCTGGTGTATAAAAAAGCATATTTCACTTTGAGATTAATAGACTTCTCTCTGTGTGAATTTCAATGCACAAAAAGATGATTAATCTTTATTTCGCTCCACGCAACGTGGCTGAAGCTAAGGTTTTATTGTCTGGCCGAGAGCGAGAGTCATATGAGAGACACTGGCAAGGGATGAGAGGCGCATCTAGAATGTGAAAATAAACCTTTTATTCCCTGTGCATGACGTGAAAGCACTGCCAAATCAGCGACACCCATAAAATCACACTTTATCATATTTCTTTTGACTATTCTGAGTTTTTTTTTCAGAGCTGCGAAATTAACATTTCAATCAAGTAATGATGTAAGAAGGAAAAAATTTTTACACACTTTTCAACCATCAATTAATAATTTTATAATCCTAGCAAATAAATTCTCAAATTGAGCGCAAAATTTATTCGCTATTTTCCATAACATCATACTCAGACTCTTTTTTTTTCATTACTTTTATGAGTCATTTTCTCGACAAAGATAGCGTTTTGCGGTTTTAGCAAAGTATCGTGAAGCCGTAAAGAGAAGCTCCTGAACACCTGTAGCAAAACTCCGTATGTCAGGCATAATCCGAAATGCTTTTCTATAGGTGTTGAAAGAGTAATAACAATAATTTTGTAGAATGTTTGTGTTTGAACTTTTCGAATCGTCATCATCATTATTCTCAATCACCATTTTACCATCACAACACACACTGTACCGGCAAAATAATTTCAAATTTATGGTCCAGTGGAGCAAGAAGCGATTTGTACTTGGAAATACACATTTTCCTCGTCACATACTCGCTTTTTTTCTCTTCTCTCTCTCTTCAATTCAATTTTATCGTCGTACATGCCTTTTTTTATATCATTTTTCTCCTATATTGCTTGTTGCTGCATTATTGGATGGGTGTCAATGTTAATGCAGTGCCTGGGAGACTTTCTTCTCAGCAGAACACTAGCAGACAAGCGCTAAGAAATGTGACTTGGTGGAATTTTCAGTGAAATCGAATCATCAGGCTAAAATGATTAGAAGTCTCTTGCAGCGAGAACAGCCACTGAAAAATTCCACTCTGTGTCATATAAGTCAGGATCCAGAGAGGTGAAATCCAATTACTCACATCGCCGTAAAATGTGTTCATGGTGCAAGAGGTTTAATATATAAAATGGATAAAGATGAAATATTGAGAGAGGAGGAATGGTTAAAGAGTTGGGAATAATCCATTGTGAAAGAAGAAACCAGTTTGGGTGTTTTTTCTTCTCTACGCCACCTTCATCATCTTCCACAGCACAACCCAGAGAAGTGAGAAAGAGGCGCGCACACTGTTGATTCACCCAACAGTGTCCATCATCATCGTCCATGACCGAAATTACAATATTCGAGGTCTCTTAATTCTTAATTGGATTAATGGTATCGTCTTTTTCGGGTATGATTTTGTCCGTTTTTGCATATGGAATAATAATGCAACAATAAAATACTCACCAGTTAATGTCATTAGCATACATAAAATGTTATCCATATACATATATATATATATATATATATTTCTTTCAGCCGACACAACACTTTTTTTTTCTCCTTTTTACAATTTCGCTTGCAGTGTGAATTCCTCGAGTGTCGATTCACTTCTTTTTGTTTAACACTGTGATATGATTGCACAACAGTATGATCCTCTTCTTCACACGAAACTAAAGTCAAAGTCTCTTGTGGACAGTTTCTTTTTACAACACTTTATGACTATACACCACACATTTACAATTACTTACAAGTAGAGTTAATTTTTCTCACCTCTTATTCGACATTGGAAACATAAAAACCCCTCAACGAATCGTTTTTTCGCTGTTATCGCGATACATGTAAATATTGCACACCACTAAAATGTCACTGCTAAATTAATCGTACTCTCAATAAACACGATTATTTATGTGAGTTTCTCTGCAAAGAGTCCATTTGATGCTGCTTCAGCATGTGATTGCAATCTGACGACAAATAGAACACTGATGGTCGAATGGCGCACAAGAAGGAGTTGCTTCACTGGGTTTTGGAGAGTCTGCAAATAGAGAGAAGAAGAGGGAGAAAACTCAATCAGTAGGAAATTATGTTTTGTTAATTCAATAACTAAGGCACTCTTTTCTCCTCTCCTTCGACCGAACATGATTGAATTGACCCAATAAAAATGTCATAAATACAACAATATCAATAAAGGAGAAATAAGAAAAGTCTATCGCAATTATTTCAGCATTAACCCCTTATGTTCCCGCCAGCACTTTGGCCTTCACAGATGAAGAACAAGAGCAACCACAAGGGAAAACCCACATTTGAACTAGAATGCATCCTCGAACTGTACACAGTGTTGCAGTGGAGAATTAGCACAGCAGCCCTGAGGGTTTGTGTGGGAGGAACAATGCCATAGAGGGAAATGGAGCATTGAGAGTGCTTTCTTTGGTCTCGCTGTGGCATCCCTCTGGCCTTTTTATCCCCGATCCTTGAGAATTATAATTCACTTAAGGACAGAAACACGCCCTGTGTCGCCACTTCAATTCCCGAATGCACGCTCTCGTCTGCCCACTTGACGACTCTGAGGCTCAGTGTGACTAGAAAATAGTCCCTATTTCATCATTTAATGGCATTTTCAATTTATCGTCGAAGCATGAGGGGGATTTCGAGCGAAAAATTCATAATTGAGAGGGGAACTGAATTCGAATTTAGGTACACGTTGCACTGGACAATCTGAATCAGTGAATTTAAAGGGTTAAAGCACATGTTGGAATCTACCATGAAATTGCCAAATGCACTGAACGCAGCAAAAGTTGTTCAATAGCAAATGAATTTGTGTACAAAATTGAATTAATGCTAATTTCGCTACCTTCCATGAGCATTATCCCCTAATCTCACAAATAGTTTCAATTTGTGGTGCATCGCAGCTTTTGCACAATCTCCAATGATAACACTTTTCACAGGAAACTTTGCACAATAAGCAATTCTATGGTTTTGGTGTGGATCGTAAAAAAAAAACCCACCCAAGATAATTGCATCTGTTGCTTCACTCTTTGGCCTCAAACTTCTTCGTCCAGTGTTCTTTCCCCACATTTAATTTGAACACACACATAAAAAAATCTTATGGAATTAGTCCAATTAAAGAATTTTCCGAGAAATTACCTACTCGAAAATAACCAATTGTCCAATTTCAAAGGAGCTCGTCTTGAGTGCTGCAGAACTATTAAATACTATAATTTCTGCACTCATCACATTTTTCCCATTGACTCTTTTATTAAATTCTTTGTTGGTTCAAGTACATTTTCTCCTCCTTCATGTCATGGTTGATTTTTCATCGCCCAGTGTTTATAGCCATTAATTCCAACTCAATGCTATACGTCGCAGAATTAAAAGAGTGTATCCATGAAGTATCATTCTGGGTGATTTTCCTCCTTTTTTTGTCTCGTCACTTAAATTCTCTTCTCATGCTTGTCTGAGTTTTCTTCCGCCTCGTCCTCTCACCCTCCTGTTCGGGGCGTCCACAAGGAGATGTGAAAATCGCAAATGACGAGATTGGTTCTCCCTGTATTGTTCTCATTTCACGCAACACAGCAGAAAGAAAATGAAAACACGAAAAAAGTGGTGCTTACAACTAGAAGTGGTAAAGAATGTTGGCGATAACATCGGAAATTTGATTGTCTCCCGGGTGTTGTTTCATTTGAACTCAAGGTGACCGCGAAATTCTGTATGCGTCGCCTCTGCGAAAGTCCCACAGAATCAGAATGTAAGATTAGTTGGGATTTTTTCTGGTATTTCGCTCCTTTTTCCGGCTGCTCCTTCCCTCCAGCACCCTGGCTGCGTGTTTGCATAAAATATCCATGTGAGACCATGTGCAGAGAGGAGTCGTAAAATTAAGAAAAAACTGTCTCTCTTGGACACAACGCCTAGACGCGCATGGAGAGCATTGTCACTTTGGAAAGGGATCGCGCACGGGAGATTTACAATCCAAATGTTCCACTCGAAAAATTTATTCGCGCTCCGGCCATTTCTTTCGGCCAGAGTGGAATTTTGCGAGAGAGAAGTAAAAAAATCGGGGCTCAGCGACACATTCCGTGTCGGGCGTTGAGAAATAGGAAGAATTGAAGCAACAAAAAGCAAACATCTCAGTGAAGTCTTGCCTATAGCCAATTGAAGGCATTTGCTTATGGCAAACATTTGGGGGAGGACAGCTTTCGCGTGGGTGTCATACAATTCTGATAAGAATCTCCCAATTCCCCCCAGCTCACGTCCATGACTCTTTCTCTCGCCCCTGAGCATGTGTCTAATTAAAAAGCGCCAGTGTCCAGCCTGACAGAGAGCCCCCATGTTCGAGAGTGCTACACTCAAGCTATATTTTAGCCGACAGTCGAATAAGCATTCCTCTTTTTCTACACACCACACACATGATTAATCTCCTCGCAAATTTCAACTCCTCCCTCACACTCAGTCCTCTTCGCACTCCACCATCGAAGTTATTCAATACCATTTGGCAAATTCCATCCCATCGTAGGTGGATGTATAAAATTTATATGTATCACGCGATCATCAACATTTAGCAAGACACTCTCGTTTCTGCATTCATCAAATTTTAGAACCCTGTTCTCCAATAATGAACTCCATTCAGAAAATATATGCTGATAAATTGTTAGACAAGCGATTTTAGGAGCATCACAAAAGGCACCGTCGACACTCTAAGAATATCTAAAATACAATTTTAACCCAAAAGAGCTTCTAGTCCTGTGAGAGATATACTAACGACACTAAAGAGAAGATGATTTCGCCATATAAATATTTAATTCAGTTCAAATTTTATAGAGAGAAAAGCGATGAGAGAAGTTTTAGACAAACCATCATTAACGACTCTTTCAGCAAATTTCTATATTGCAGAATAAAACTCTCTTAAATTCAATCTTCAACTCATTCCGTGTCATGTCTATCAGAATTATATATTCAGTGAACAAATAAATTTACCCGCGTAATTTATTTTATAAATGAAATAAAAACCATACAAAATTGATGTGAAAATACGAGAAAAAAATCAAATATTTGCAATTTATTTCTCTTCATCTGCCATAAATAAAACAGTCAAATGGAGAGATGAGAGGAAAAATCAATTTCACTGTTTCAGAATATACATTCAATTGCGGTTTGCCAAATTGAAATCCCTCACACCGACGCGACTCCTTTTCACAGGAGCACTCTTGCTGATTCTTACATGTATTTCTGTACCCATTCATACCGCGCTTCTCCCGGTGACATTGAACTTGGGTGTCGCACTGCGAAATTGTGGGTGATTCTCAACCATCAAATACACTTCTCACCCGCAACCCTGACTTTCCACATAATCTCTCTCGTTTTGCAAATCACCACTACCCAGCAATATCCTGCGCAACTTAATGGTGTTGTGCATCAACCAGCGAAAGTGATTCTCATCCTGTGTCGATTTTTATCCGTGATTTCGCCCATTCTTCAGCGCCTTTTTTTCTGTGCCAAGCCTAGAAAACTGGTAAACAAATTTCCTCTCCCAATAGAGCAATAATTGACAGCGAAGCCCTCCCGCCGAAAGATCCGCATCTCTTTTCACGTCCCCCCTCAGCGCCGCTCCCTGTGGCCCTAAGGGCACAAATTCGATTCCCAAAATAAAAGGCCCAGAACACAGGGATGAGTTGTTTACCATACTGTTGCAGAATGAGAGAGAGAAAAAAATGTGAATAAAAGGAAATACAGCCTGAATATCCAAATTATATCAAATTTACCATCTTTTCATTTGATTTCAATTGTGCCCCGTGTATTTTTCCTCCTCGGCGCCACTTTTTTGGCCTCTAGTGACGGAGTTGCTTATATTTTTTTCACTCACCTCCTCGCACAGCATAATGCTAAACCTTACAAAACAGGTCAGACTTTTACTTTCGCCAAAAATTTGCGATTCACAACTTTCTCTTTATACAATCACAGCCGCGCTCTTTTTGCCATCATCATGGAGACATTTTATTCGACTGATAGTCGCAATTACTCACAATTTCCAAGACAAGAGTCGCCAAAGACAGAGAAGAAAGACCCCACACGACCCTTTATGATAATAGAAAAGTGCCATTCGATTGAAGTGCATTTCAATGAAGACGGAAAAGATAAATATCTGCCATACATCGAGGAAAAAGTGCAACTGCAGAAGTAAGAGGAAAACTTTATGCACACATTTCCAATTAAACTTCACTACACAATTCATATGGAGATAAAATAGAAAATAGACTCGTGGGCACTCTTTCCCATGGAGATAAAAAATCATACATGACCAAAGATTTAAAATGGCTTATGACCGCATTCTTCCACATCAAATTTCGCAAAATATAAGACAGACGCTGACTCTGGGCTTAATTCATTTGTCCCATTCAGTCCAACAATGATTCATTAAATCCCCGTGACATGAAAAGAGAATCAAGATTGGAAAAAATGACGAGGTGCTCCTAAAAGGATTAATTTAAACCTGACATTTTCAATAACTCTCACGGAATGGGATTTATCTGTTCATCAGAGAAATACACATAGGGACTTTATGAAGATTAAAAAAAGACAATTCGTCACCCGCAAAAAATTTGCAATGCTTGTTTTTGTCCAGAGTGTATTGGCTCGAAGAATAATTATAAATGTTTATTTACGTAACCCATTCAATTGATCTTGTGTGTGCGACTCAAAAAGGCCAATTGTGCGACCCAAGAGCAAAAATTCCCACCCGAAAATTTCGCCTATTCAGGACGCACAAGCCACCCATATGGCTATCAACTTGAGTTGAATTACCTATTCAGAGATATTCCAAAAATTGGTCATTTAAAATTTGGCAATGGTCATTTTAATATCACCACAGACGTGAACTCAAGGTTTTATCATTTGTTAATGGGTCTCCCATGTGGAATACAAAAGATCCAATTCTGCTGTGAATTTTCTCCGTTGGAAGGTCACGCGTGTAGTTGAAAGATATATAACATCAACGATTTACACCACGGAACTCAAGGTACTTTATTTTTTACTCCTCGCGCG